CTGGATGAAGCACAGGCTGGAATCTAGATTGCTGGGAGAAATATCAATAACCTCAGATATGCAGATGACACCACCTTTATGGCAGAAAGCAAAGAGGAAGTAAAGAGCATCTTGATGAAAGTGAAAGAGGAGAGTGAAAAAGCTGGGTTAAAACTCAGTGTTAAAAAATCTAAGATCATAGCATCTGGTCCCATCACTTCGCAGCAAATAGATGGGGAAACAATGGAAAAAGTGAGTGACTTTATTTTCTTGGCTGCAAAATCATCACAGATAGTGGCTGCAGCCATGAAATTAAAAGACATTTCCTCCTTGAAGAAAAATTATGACCAACCTAGAAAGCATATTAAAAAGCTTTACCATTACTTACCAACAAAGTAAACAACATAGCTTTGTCTAGTCAAAGCTATGGTTTTTTCAGTAGTCATGTATGGATGCGAGAGTTGAACCATAAAGAAAGCTGAGGCCAAAGAATTGATGCTTTTCAACTGTGGTGTTGAAGAAGACTCTTGAGAGTCTCTTTGACTGCAATGAGATCCAACCAGTCCATCCTAAAGGAAATCAGTCCTGAATATTCATTGGAAGGACTAATGTTGAAGCTGAAACTCCAGTACTTTGGCCACCTGATGCGAAGAGCTGACTCATTTGAAAAGACCCTCTTGCTGGGAAAGATTAAAGGCAAGAGGAGAAGGGGATGACCGAGGATGAGATGGTTTGATGGCATCACTGACTCAATGGACATGAGTTTGAGCAAGCTTCAGGAGTTGGTGATGAATAGGGAAGCCTGACATGCTGCAGTCCATGGGATCACAGAGTTGGACATGACTGAGGGAGTGAACTGAACTGACTGAGATAATAGGGTGGTGTTCCTGGAATCTCAATCATCAACCTTCTGGTTCTGACTACTGTAGAGTCTTAGCATGTAGTTACCATCCCCCTCTTGGATTGGGGCCTTAGTTCCTGCAGCATAATTCATTTCCTGTACTGAACTGAAATATGTGTTAAATAATCTGTTAAGTAAATATTGTGTGTGCATGCAAGCTCAGTCATGTCCAACTAACTGTTTGTAACACCACGGAGATGTTAGAAGAATGTAGAAAGTAGCATTGTGGAGCATGAAGGAATTAAAAAAAAAACAACAATAGATTTTATTTCAAAGTAAGCTAAGTTTATAGATAGTAGGTAACACTAGAGGAGGATTTTTAAGGATAGATAAGTATTTTCCAGATGACATTCTAGAAATGTAGAGTTCAGACAATTGTCTGTTTAGTTCAGACAATGTCAAGTGGTTCAGTGTGGCTAGAATATAGACTCTTTGGTAGCTAGCAATAAAGATGGAATCCATCAGCTGGTTTCAGTTTATGAAAAGCCTTATGTACCATGATAAGGAAAGTGGACCTAGGCAATGAAGAAATAGCAAGAATATTTAATCAGGGGCCTAACAGGGCCAGCTAGTTTTCACTACTATTACTACTGTCACTAGCTCATGCATATGCAGTATTTGCTGTGTGCCATGCACAATTCTATGTGCTATATATTTTCGTACTTAGAATAACCCAGTGAAATAGATATTATTGTGATTCCTATCTTTCAGATAAGGATAATGAGGTGCAAAGAGGTTAAATAACTTGTCCAACATTACATATCTACTAAGTGAAAGAACCAGGGTAATAAACTCTGGCACTCTGGCTCCAGAGAACACTCCCTTTACAGTTATGTTATGAAGGATGAGTTCATTTGATGGGGTGAGTCTTCTGGTAGGATAGTAAATTAGAAAATCATTGAAGAGAAGATAAAGGCCTGCAATAGGACAGTAGTTATAGGGACGAAAGAAAATTCGTTGCTTTATAAATGTAATTGACAGGACTTTACAAAGTAACTGAATGTTAGTGATGAGAGAAAAATAAGTCTAATTTGGAGGTTTCTATAGCTTAAATGATGATACTGTTAACTAGAATAAGGAAGAAAGGAAGAAGAACAGGTTTGGATGAAGATGAAAATGATGGGTTTTATTGACAATTGAATACACATATGTTGCTATAGTGAATTACCAGTGTTGAGTTTTTATTCAATCATGTTATGCCCCTGGGACAAAAATATAAAATTTATGAGTAAACATCAAGGTTCTGTATAATCTTATCCTAATTATTTCTCTGCCGGCCTCAAACATGCTAAAATTCTTAGCAATCTGATCAATAGTTCATTCATTGGAGTAGAATAATATGCTATTGGCCAAATCTTCAAAAATTCTACTCTATATTCCTTCCTTGGAGGTTCAGCCTCTTTCCAAAAAGGAAGGAAAATAATCAGTGTATTCTTTCCCCTTAAGAAGTCTATGTATAAACCAGTAATCTGTCTTAATAGTATTGGAAAACATTATCAGGAAGCTAAATTCAATTAAGCAATAATGTGAAATGTAAATAACCACTTAAAACAAGTGCTTTGAGTTTAAGAAATAGAATGTTATCCTTTTTGTCTTATTTAGTTGAAACATACATTGTGGTTCTTATTTTACTCTCTCAAATAATTATTAAGCTTGTGTTAGTTATAGCTATTTCAGTAGGGTGTGATAGCTACAAAATGGGGGGCTGCAAAAAATGTTATGGGAGTACTTTTGAAAAACATTTAGTTTACTTAGTCTTAGAGGTCATAGAAAGATACCCTGAAGAAGTGACATCTTAGAAGAGAACATTGAATATGTCTGGGCTAACCAGATGAAGAGAAGATAGGAATAAAAGTGTACAAAATGTACTTCCCTGGTGGTCCAGTGGTTAAGACTTCACTTTCTGATGCAGGGGGCATAGGTTTGATCCCTGGGTGGGGAGCTAAGATCCCACATTCCTTGGGACAAAAAATCAAAACATAAACAGACGTAATGTAACAAATTCAATAAAGACTTTTAAAAAAAGTATATTAAATAGAAGGAATAACTTAGTCAAAAGTGAGAGCTTGTAAAATATAGAAGGAACTGCGTACACTTCAGGGTGGTCAAAGGAAAGTGAAAAAGTGAGGAGTGATAAGAGATAAAGCTAATGAGGTGATGAGGTGGATAGGTCCCTGCTCTGCAGGATCCTGTAAATTATGTCGAGGGTTTGGATGTCATTCTGTGGATAAAGGGATGGGTATTGAAATGTTTTAAGAAGATGAATTTACCCAGCTAAAATTTTAGAAAGCCCTGGTAAGGTTGAGGGGCAGACAAAGGACTGAAGAGAAGCAAGGGTGGAGACAGAGACATGACTTCTAAAAACTGACTTCAAAATAAAGATTTTCTTTTGCTTAAAGAAAGGCTTTTGAATAGTTTAATGATAGTTATGCCAGACAAAAGTCAATATATTGATGTAAAAATTAATCAACTGACAACTAAACTCTTTTTTCAAAGGACAACTTTATTTACTGTCAGGAAAGATAATAGTGATATATTTCCTGAAAGAATGCACCCAAGATACCAACAAAGAATTGAATAAATTTATTTTATAACTCAATATTTTTTATTTCCTGGCATAGGCATAGGGCAGTCTGGCTGGTATATTTTAGCCCCTATGGACAGTTGGTTTAAAAAATAACTGATACAGCCGTCTAGGACATAAGGGATTTGTTTTCTGTAAATAAATGTGTACGTGTGTTCTCGACTGCTAAGTCGTGTCGGACTCTGTGGCCCACCAGTCTCCTCTGTCCGTGGGATTTTCCAGGCAAGAATACTAGAGTGGGTTGTTATTTCATCCTCCAGGGAATCTTCCCAACACAGGGATCAAATCTGCATCTTCTACATTGGCAGGCGGATTCTTTACTGTCACAGTCTTTGTAGTCCGGGACCTGGGAACTGGAGTTGACAAGAAGAGGGATGCAAGGGACCCAAGTCTCGAGTGAAACAAAGGTGCTTTATTTGCAGAAATAAATGCATGTTTATATATATTCATACAAGGCAGCTTTAGACAGTAAAAAAACAAACAAAAAAAATTGAGCAAAAGCAAAGCCAAGCAAATAACAATCTTCAAAGGGCCAGAAAGCATTCAACATCTTGAGTTATTTGTTGTTTCTCCCTTGCTGCTTTTAATATTTGTTCCTTGTGTTTGATCTTTGTTAATTTGATTAATATGTGTCTTGGGGTGTTTCACCTTGGGTTTATCCTGTTTGGGACTCTCAGGGTTTCTTGGACTTGGGTGGCTATTTCCTTCCCCATTTTAGGGAAGTTTTCAGCTATTGAGTAAGAGGGGCATAACTGAATATATTACATTTAAGTAAGGTCACTGAAGGGAGTCACTGAAAGGAATCCAAGCAGTTGCCCTTTCTCATAGTCTCAGTCCTGAGAACTATGTATAGCTCTGCTCGCTCCTGTTTTCCACGAACTCATAAGGAGTAGAGAGTCCTCGAGAAACAACACACAAAAGAAGGACATATTGGATCTCTTAAAGTCGAACGTCCCCTGACAATGCCCCCTGTTTTATTTTTTTCATAATTGGGGGTGACTGTAGATATTTTTGTGAAAAAGGCCCTGACCAATTGAGTTTATTTAGTTTGAACAATTATAGTTTAAAGACATCAGTATACTACAAATATAATCACCAGGGCAATTATCAGTGTTATAGTTCCAGATCCAATACTATGTGTAATATTTTGAAACCATCTTCGAGGGTCCAGCCAAGATAATTGACAATTGTACATTTAAGGAAGCATATTATGTGTATCTTGTAGATGAAATTTGATTTGTTTCCAATTGTAAGCACTATGGTTGAATGGAACAGGAGTGGTGCAAAATTGAGTGAAATTTTAATCACAATGTAATAATAATTGCTTTGTAAATCTATTAATTGATCTCCAACCCATTAGATGACTGCTTCTAATTTCTGTATTTTATCTTGAACTTCTTCATCTATCTGATCTTGAGCAGCCCACATAGTATGAGTATCTTTAGTCCAACTTTGAATAAAGTTTTGTGTTTGAATTGAAGTTTGTAAAGCAATGCCTGTGACAGAACAGTGGTACAATTGGCTATTAATCTCAAAATGCGAAGAATTACTCACCCAATGAATCTGGGAGATCATCAGAATAATTTAGTGAGTAACCGGGAGGCAAGTTCTGTCATGGGACCCTCTTCCCAGGGTCGTTGGAGATCTACTGGCAACCATAGACTATGTCAAGATTGAAGAATCAAAAGGGATTTGTTTTTTAGAGAAATAGAGGAATTAAGACAAGCATACAATTTGTAATCTATACAAGTCACAGGACATAAAGTTTTATTAAATTGTAAGTTTCCTATGGCTATAACAAAAAGAAGGGAACACAAGCTTGTATAAAACATGAATGATTATAACAGAAGGAATAGTTACTATGATTACAACTGGTCTCTGTGAAATATCTAGTCCAAGTTTCAAGATTTTCAGTACTCGCAGCAAGTCTCCAGATGTCCCATTGTTTAGGCCCAATCTATTTATTGATGACAATTCGAGGGCGAGGAGGTGCCATTCTGCCATCAAGCCAACAAAGGAGTCCTTTCTCATGGAAGTGTTTCATTGAACTGTTGGTATCCCTGTATATTAGTTGAGTAACATATTCACACATAGTACTGTTAATATCATCTGAGCAGTTAGATAACCTCATATCATAGGGTCCCCAGTCAACAATGGTGTAATTGGCCACAAACTTTTTTTTTTCATTTAGCTTGACATCTATCTCAATAAACAGGAGTATATTTAAAGTCCTTATAAGTAAATCCCTTATATTCCAACTTTTGTCCTTTTCCTAGAGTTTTGGTAGTATTGACATGGTTCTCATAAAAGGACAGGGCAGTAAACAGTCAAGCAAAGTGTGGAAGTTCTTTCTTGGAGGCAGGATGGAAGTCCACGTTTGTTGACAAACATTAATACATAATTCTGTTGGGCCCATGCATAAAGAAATGATTTAATAGCCTAGACAAATGTTAATTAGTCTTCCTTCTTTCTCAGGATGAGAGGGCCCCTCCAAGTTCTAGGAAGAGACACATGTACTGGGTCATTAGTGGATATGGTCAGTCCCATATCTGTCCATTTTACAACCTGCAATAAAGGGGAGGTAGGTATATAAGCCCAATAAGTGTGATTAATCAAGTCAGCCTGAGTGGGGGAAGCAAAACAAGCAAAGCAAGCATAGTGACAAAAATATTTTCAGGATTCCGAGATATTTCCTGTTGAGAAACCAGATTTTCAGCTTGATTAGTAAGTTGTTTTTTTTTTTTTTTAATGTGAATTATTTATTTTTACTTTTTTAATCTCAGTTTTATTTATTTATTTATTTTACTTTACAATATTGTATTGGTTTTGCCATACACTGACATGAATCTGCCATGGGTGTACACGTGTTCCCCTAAGTAGGGAGATCGTAAGGTTGATGACATCGAGTGCGGCGTCTCTTGGAAATTTTTAAAGCCACCATGGCTTGTACTGGAAACTCTTCCTCCTGGGGATTTTGCCGTTTCTTCTCTATTCTGAATGCTGGTGGCTCTCCTGGGGCAGATCCTCCGAAGAGGGAACCAACTGATTTTGTTGGATCCATCTGGAGAAATATAAGCATACCCCTTTTCCCTGTAATATTAATTTTCCAGATTTCCATTGTTTAGTCAACCCATCTTGATACCAAATGGACAGAGGAAGGGAGGTGTTCTTCAATGCCTTGAAATGTTTTTCTGCTTTTGTCATAATATCTCCTTGTGGTAAGTTTAAAAAAAAATAAAACAATATTAACAATAGTTGTAGGATTAAAGAATATATTGTGTTGGAATCTAGTAAAGTCTGCTCTGGATAAGGAAGATAGAAATGTTCCTGTATATTCCCCCTTTATTTATTTATTTATTTATTTATTTATTTTTGTAGTTTTAGTGTGTGACATGTTTTTCCAACTATGTCTTGGGTTTGTGGATTATAAGGAACACTTGTAATGCATTTAATAGAAAATGATTGTAAAAATTGTTTGAATTGTTTAGAAATATAGGCAGGGTCATTGTCTGTTTTTATAAAACTAGGTGTTTTCATTACTGCAAAGCAAGCTAACAGGTGGGTTATAACATGTCGTGCACTTTCACCTTGGAGAGGTGTGGCCCATATAAAAGAATTTGTATTGATTGAGACATATAAGAAAGAAGAGGGAGAAAGTTCAGGACAATGAGTTATATCCATTTGCCATAGTTCCTTGGGTTGTAATCTTCGGCAACTGATACCTTGTGTAACGGGTCGAAGATGTAGGGGCCTATAAGTAGAGCAATTATTAATGATTTTTTAGCATGTCTGTATGGAATTTTCGAAATTTGATGTAATGAGCCAATTTTATTGTGTAATAGAGCATGTTGTTCTTCAGGAGTAGCAAAAGAAACAAGTTTATCAGATTATTCATTGCCATGAGCCATAGGGCCAGGAAGACAAGAATATGTTCGAATATGGGTAATATAAATGGGGGAAAGTGTGGTTCCTAATAATAGATTGTAGTTCAAGAAAAAAATTGTTGGATTGATTAGAATTCATGGTAGAAGTTTCTATATTTTTAAATACAAAAACTGAATATAAGGAGTCAGAAACTATATTAATAGGGTAAGGATGTAGGTGAATAACCTGAATGAGAGCATATAATTTGTTTTGTTGAGCAGAGTGGAATTTAGTATAAAAGATTTTATATTTTTTGAGAGACCAGAATGAGGCTTTGGCATTTTCAGTCTCATCTATATAGAAAACATCAGCTTGAGGTATAGGTTGTGATGTGACGTGAGAGATAATAAATTTACTATTTTTGAAGAAATTTCAGAGTTTGTTAGAAGGATAATGAAATGAAATTTCTCTAAAATATTCTAGGAAGGCTATTTGGAAATTGGTAGAAGTTTGTAATGCATTCTTGAATTGAGATTTATTAATAGTTATTACAATTTTATGAGGATCAGAGCCAATTAGAGTCTTAGCTCTATTTCTTTCATTGATTATGATTAGAGCAATCAAATCAAGATAGGGTGTAAGCAACCTTGTCCCTCTAAAATGGATATAGATCTATTTTATTGGGTGTTCTTTTTGGGCAAGAAGTCCTGTGGGAGAATGGAGAGAGGGGAGTATAAATAACTTTAGAGGTAAATCAAGTCTAATATGACTAAGAAAGTGTTTTTGCAATTTATATTTTACTAAATAAAGTTTTTCTTATGTCTTTTGTGAAAGTGAACAAGGACTATTTAAATTGGGATTTCTTTTTAAAGTGTTAAGTAAATTAGTCAGTTGATAATTTGTAATGTATAAAGAGGGTCTAATCCAATTTATATCACCTAAAAGTTTTTGAAAATCATTTAAGTTTGATAATTCATTAACATGAATCTGTGTTAGTTGGGGAGTAACATGTTGTCTATTAACAATAAATTTTAAGTAATGGTAAGGTGTAAAGGTTTGAATCTTTTCAAGGGCAATGATTAATCTAGAATCTTTTAATATTGTTGAACTATGTTAAACATCTGTTCAGTTTTTAAAATAAAAGGAGTTGAAAACAATATATCATCTATATAGTGAATGACAAGAAAGTTAGGAAATTATTTTTCCACAGGTTTAAGAGTTTTGACTACATAATATTGACATATGGTGGGAGAATTCATCAGTTTTTGAGGCAATACAGTCCATTGATATCGTTTGTGAGGCCCAATATGATTAGGATAAGGGAAAGAGAAAGCAAACATCTCTCAGTCTAGAGGGTGTAAAGGTATAGTATTCTAGAAGGGACTGCTTAAGGAAAAAGAAGGAAATCATTTAGGGCTGGTATATTGGCCGCAGCATTGACAGATGTTGAGAGTTTGAGGGAAAAGATGGAGTTTGCCCCTGGTTTTTGTTGATGGGGATCCAGGGAGTCCCTATCTTTTAGTTTTGTGAAATACGATTTTTCTCAACATCATATTTAGATTGACATTTTTTAGCCCAATGTATCCCCTTATGACAGTGAGGGTAGATTTTTGAAGGCTTTTTAATAATTTTAATGTGTGTGTGTGTGTGTGTGTGTATGTGTATGTGTGTCTTAGGGCAATCTTTTTTTAATTGCTCTTATCTCCATAAACAAAACATCCTTCATTTCCCTTTTTAAAGGCAGCAGCATTGTTTCAGCTAATATTTACATTTTTTTTATCTTAAGTTGTGACAAGCCTTCAAATAATCAATAACATCCCTGGTCTCATAAATTGGAGCAATGGCTCTTTGATATTTCTGATTTGCATTCTCATATGTAAGCAGTTTTTCTATCTGCATTTTGGCTTCTTCTCTGACAACATTATGGGAGATAGCAACACCCAGTCTAGCTAAAAAATCAGCATAGACTTCATTAGGCCCTTGTAATATCTTTTTGTACCTACCTTTAGGTTCCCCTTGAGTAGTAATTCGATCCCAAGCTTCAAGGGCAACTTCTTTCAATTGCTCATGCAACAAAGGAGGGCACTGTATCTGAACTTCCACCGAATCAAATTGCCCTGAACCGGTTAACATTTCAAAAGTAATTTGGTTTTGGGGAGTGCCAGTTTGAGTATTAGAATTGGCATGATCTTGGCCACATCATGAAACCATATTGTCTATTGAAGATATTTTCTTGGTTTAAGAAGAGCTTTTATCAAAATTTCCCAATCATAAGAAATAAAATTTCCAATAGAAGATGCCATAGCATTTAGAAGTATTTTAGTAAAAGGTGAATGAGGGCCGTATAGCTATAGCCTTTTTCATTTGTTGCATGTGAGAAAAATCAATGTCTTTGCATTGAGGTATTAGTTGTCCTTGAGCACTAATATTTTTCAACACAGGAAAGGCAGAAAGATCATCGGCCTCAGAGACTCAAGATTGAAAAAGACAGTAAATCATAAAGTCTTTGTCGTGAATGAGAATGAGTGGATGTCCATTTTCATAAATATGAGTGTGTGTTAGGGGTTTATCATTGTCATCAAAAAAAGTATTGTTGGCTTTAGTGTCAAAGAAAGAATCAGAAGAATCATCATCAGATTTATTTTGTCCTCTAATTGAGGGGACTTTTGGTTTCGTGCCTGTTACTAGAGGAGGAGGAGCACTTGGGATAGCCAGAGCAGTGATGGTGGGAAAGCTTTGAAACATTTTATGTTGCCCTAATTAGGCCTTTCAGGATTTGAAATACCTCAAATGGAATTTCATCACATTCACTAGCTTTGTTTGTAGTGATGCTTTTTAAGGCCCACTTGACTTCACATTACAGGATGTATGGCTCTAGGTGAGTGATCACACCATTGTGATTATCTGGGTCATGAAGATCTTTTTGTACAGTTCTTCTGTGTATTCTTGCCACCTCTTCTCAATATCTTCTGCTTCTGTTAGGTTCATACCATTTCGGTCCTTTATTGAACCCATCTTTGCCTGAAATGTTCCCTTGGTATCTCTAATTTTCTTGAAGAGACCTCTAGTCTTTCCCATTCTGCTGTTTTCCTCTATTTCTTTGCAGTGATCACTGAGGAAGGCTTTCTTATCTCTCCTTGCTATTCTTTGGAACTCTGCATACAAATGGATATATCTTTCCTTTTCTCCTTTGCTTTTCACTTCTCTTCTTTTCACAACTATTTGTAAGGCCATCTCAGACAACCATTTTGCTTTTTTGCATTTCTTTTCCATGGGTATGGTCTTGATTCCTGTCTCCTGTATAATGTCACAAACCTCTGTCCACAGTTCATCAGGCATTCTGTCTATCAGATCTAGTCCCTTAAATCTATTTCTCACTTCCACTGTATAGTCAGAAGGGATATGATTTAGGTCATACCTGAATGGTCTAGTGGTTTTCCCTACTTTCTTCAATTTAAGTCTGAATTTGGCAATAAGGAGTTCATGATCTGAGCCACAGTCANATAAAATCAGTGCATACATGCATGCATGCTAAGTCACCAAAGTTGTGTCCAAGTGTTTGAGACCCTATAGACCGTAGTCTGCCAGGCTCCTCTGTCCCTGGGATTCTGCAGGCAAGAAAACTGGAGTGGAATACCATTTCCTCCTCTAGGGGATCTTCCCACTGAGGGCTCAAACCCGGGTCTCTTTTAATGTCTCCTGCATTGGCAGGCAAGTTCTTTACAACTAGCACCACCTGTCACGTCATAAATATATTTCATGTGTCAACAGAGTTCTCCATAATCATGAATATAGATAGTACAGAATGATTTGGAAGATATAAAAAAGACATATGGCTGCTTCAAGTGAAAAAAATATATGGAATCTAATAAATCCCAACAAAGGTGTGAGGCAGAAAAGTTTTTAAAGAAATAATATTTCAGAGTTTACAGATTTGATGAAAATTAAAGCCAGAGACTCATGACCTGGAAATTTTTGATGGATGGAAGATAATTGTGGATTTTAGAGTTTCAAGCTGTGTTTTTGTATTCCTTTCATAATTGTTGAGCTTATCTCATTGATGTTGGATCCTTTAAGAGCTTGCTGCTTTTTGCTCTGGAGTGACATATTAGACATAGAGTACCTATGCTATTGAAGAAATCAGCATTGTAGGGTTTTTTGTTTGTTTTTAATAAAAGTATTTTTAATTGAAGTGCAGTTGACTTAGAATCTTGCGTTAGTTTCTACTTTATAGTAATGTGGTTTAGTTGTATATACATTGTTTTATGCATTCTTTTCCATTATAGTTTATCACAGGGTATTGGATATGGTTCTGTGTGCTATACAGCAGGACCTTGTTGTTATCCATCTTGTGTATGATAGTTTGCATCTGCTAATCCCATACTTTGAATCCAAGGGAGAGGTGGGTGGTGGAGAGGGAGAGTTGGGTGGTTCTTCCATTCTGGTTTTGGTAGTCCTGTTGATCTTGGGAGGGTGTGAATTGACAGATAAATCTTAATGCTTTTTATCCTCTAGGTCCTTACACCTTTAGTATCTGTGATACCTCAAATTTCTCTGATTATATCCGTGGAGGCATTGTCAGTCAGGTCAAAATAGCTAAGAAGATAAGCTTTGTAAGTATGTGCAGGAGGGTGTACTGTAAGGTTCCAGGTATTTCTCACTTCATTTTGTTTTGCTTTTCTAGTTCTGATGTGGTCTTCTCTGTTCTCCACCAGAAATCCTTGCTCAACTCACTGGCAGAGCCAGACTTTGTGATAACAGATTTTGCCAAGTATTCTCGCTCTGCTCAACTGCACGTTGGTTTCCAGGCCTTGCACCAGTTCTGTGCTCAGCATGGCAGATCCCCTCGGCCCCACAGTGAGGTAGGTGGGTGGGCAAGCCAGCCTGGGTCCTTGCACCAAAGCTCTACCATTACTACTTGTCTTTACTTTTTCTGCCTCTCCCTCTCCCTACAGTGGCATGACTGAGTCTTTGTTTCTTGTGTCCTACCAGAAGGATGCAGCAGAACTGGTGACCCTAGCAGAGGCTGTGAAGGCTCAAGCTCCGCCAGCAGTGCAGCAAGACAGTTTGGATGAAGACCTCATCAGGAAGCTGGCTTATGTGGCTGCTGGGGATCTAGCACCCATGAATGCCTTCATTGGGGGCTTGGCTGCTCAGGAGGTTATGAAGGTAGGTGTGGGTAGAAGGATAGTGGTGGAGTGGGCTCGGTTTCTTTCTGACTCTGCTACTGGCCGTCAGGCTCTGATTAACCGGGGATCACTTCCCCTTTCTTACCTTCTCCTCAGGCCTGCTCTGGAAAGTTTATGCCTGTTATGCAGTGGCTGTACTTCGATGCCCTTGAGTGTCTCCCTGAGGACCAGGAGGCTCTTTCAGAGGACAAATGCCTTCCAGTATGTGATGGGGGCCCACAGAGAAGGTATTACTTTGGTCCTCTCTGGTGTACAATTTCTCTAATCCTCTCCTCCCTTCACCTGATGCAGTGCCAGAACCGTTACGATGGGCAGGTGGCTGTATTTGGCTCCAGCCTGCAAGAGAAATTGGGCAAGCAGAGATACTTCTTGGTGAGAACTCCTATTGGGAGCAAGCTCCTTTACTTATCCTAGCTCTGGCCACCTCTTCTGGAGTCTTTGCCTTGGAAGGGAGGGTGTTTGATTGTACCCTCATCTCTTTTGTTTAGCATTTTGTTTTCATACCAGTTCCTTTGTTCCTGGTCTTCTGCCTCTTTCCTGATGACCTTGCGTTTTTATGCTCCTGGGATTTAAATATTCAATACTAGAGTCTCTTGCCCAGCCCTCTCTTACAGTCTCCGAGAGGAATAGGACTGAGGGGTGGCTTTTACCCGAGTGCCGCTAACCATTACCTCTCTCTCTTCTTGCTGCCTCCCAGGTGGGTGCAGGGGCCATTGGCTGTGAACTGCTCAAGAACTTTGCCATGATTGGGCTGGGTTGTGGGGATGGTGGGTCAATCACCGTAACAGACATGGACATCATCGAGAAGTCAAATCTGAACCGACAGTTTCTGTTCCGTCCTTGGGATGTCACGGTGAGTGAGATAGACAGGGTTAAGTTGTTGGGTTTTTCTCCTTTTCTTTGTTATCCGTCATGCTAACTTAGGTCTCTTTTGTTTACCCCTTTCCTTCAGTTCCTCCCTTATTTTTTCTCTATGGTTCAGTCTTTGAGCAGATATTCACTGAGTACTTGTGTCTTGCGTTTGTCATTTTGCATCTCTCCCGACTCTGTTTCCTTTGATTTTTAGTTACGGCTTATGTGAGACTACAGAAGCTAGGATATAGAGGAAAGTTTTATGTAAAAGTCAGGGTTATTTTTTGCCTGCTAAGTGTCTGCCTTTCATTTTATTATGCAGATACTAGGCAGTGCTTTGATAGTTGAGATATATAAGAACATAGAGAAGTTTCTGCTCTTCTCTGATGCAGTGACATAACATTGAGAGTTTCTCAAAGTTCAGTGGAGGTAGATAGCACTCTTTCCTCAAGTCCATAGATGTTTCAAGACTTACTAGGACACTATTTTGCTTTTGTTTTCATTTCACCAGCTTAATGGTGAATCTCCCTCTCTACTTTGAACAGCTGTCTGACAAGGACACAGGGTTTTCCAAATGACTCGATCAGTGTATGATGGTACAGAATTGTGCATTAAGGAAATTCACTTTCAATTCAAAATGAATTGAAAACCAGTGAATATTGATATGGATTCCACATTTCACCTTGCAATTACATTTGTAAACTCCTGTCAAGTTTTCTGTATTTCTAAAATATCACCTAAAAACTGTTACTGAAACATTTTTTGTAAGGCCGAATATCCCTTAGGTTCTTTTAACCAAAATATATAATGCATTGACTGCAGTAGTTGTGAAAATTCTTCTGTCTTCTAAAATAGCTTAAGAGAAATGTGCAAAATTGTAATTACACTCGAAACCTGTCTTAATATTAAAGTCTTCATGTTGCAATGTTTTTCTCAATGATTATGTTATGTAATGGAATTATCCTAGTCTTAAACAGACTAATATTATTTAAACCTTTCTCTGTTTAAATGTCTAATGTAAGAAATATTGATGGCTTTGCATCACATTAAAAAAAAATCCTTTTTAAAAGACCTCTACTTTTTCAACTGCTAGAGTGGATAAATACCAATAGCAAAATGTATAGTTCGAACATGGGGTGAAAAATAATGTTTTGGGGTAAGAATCATTATCAAGATAAAGAACAAAGTGTCATGAGAGGGTAGTTTGCAATGTGGTAAAAAAGGTCTCATTGGAAAGGTGACATTTCCACAGAGAATTAAAAATGAGAGAGGTGGAGTGGAAGAAATCTCAGGAAAGAATATACTATGTAAAGGTAGCAGCATGAGGAAAATCTCAAGGTTGAAATATTTTTTCTGTGGTTAAGAGATAAGAGACAGTGGAAGATCATAGGAATAGAGAAACTTGTAAAAGTAATAGGGGCCACTTCATCTTATCCTTAGTTGAAATTTGGAACTGATAGAGGGTTTTGAACAGAAGAGGAGCTTGAGCTAAGTTTCAGAGAATCCTGGTTTTGTAAACCAGACGATCTTGGTTTTCTTTCAGTGAACGCACCGCACGTGCATTCTGGGTGCTGGTAATAAAAACTAACAATACATGTTGGGTAGATAGAAGAAACAGGTGCTCGACCCATTGTCTCCTACTGGGTCACTGTTTTCTTTTTAAGCCCTGTTCCCCGTTTGTTTCAGCCTCAGCTGTGTGGCATTTGTCATATGCCACAGAGCCCCTGAAGTCACAGCATTGGTCTTGTGCATCACTACTTAATCAGTTTCCAGGATAGGTCTGCACAGGTGAGTTGGGTGATTATATGAATGACAGTTCTGTTTCCTCTGCCGCTACCCAGAAGTCGAAGTCTGATACAGCTGCTGCAGCTGTGAGCCAAATAAATCCACACATCCGGGTCATAAGCCATCAGAACCGTGTGGGCCCTGAGACAGAGCATGTGTATGATGACGACTTCTTTCAAAACCTGGATGGTGTGGCCAATGCCCTGGACAATGTGGATGCCCGTAAGTGTTGTGGATGGGTGAGAACCAGGACAGAGCCATGTTTGTGTTTTTTTTTGGGTGGGGGGAGTGTCATCTGTACTGATGTTTACTTCCCCTTCATCTGTTGACTCTTTGCCACAGGCATGTACATGGACCGCCGTTGTGTTTACTACCGTAAGCCACTTCTGGAGTCAGGAACACTGGGAACCAAGGGTAATGTACAAGTGGTTATCCCCTTCCTGACAGAGTCATACAGCTCCAGCCAGGACCCTCCTGAGAAGTCCATCCCCATCTGCACGCTGAAGAACTTCCCGAATGCCATCGAGCACACGTTGCAGGTGATCAGCTGTGGGGGTAGAAAGAGGTGGAACAGGCAGGCATCTAGACAATGTCAAGCTCTTTTGATTCCAGTCATGCAAACCTCAGTGTATATAAGATGTGCCCTCCCTTCAAATCTCCTTCATTCATTTTAGACCTACTACCCTAACCTTTTTGGAATGCTTTTTCTTAACTTGGACATTTTATATTGGAAACATACAGGGAAGTATTATGTATACTATGCAAGACATTTTACATAAGGAGTGTGTATCTAAGATGTGAAGATGTCTGTCTTTCTATAGAGGATACTGTTTTCTTGCTAAACAAAATCAACTTCTTAATATCAGCTCTGCTCGTTATTAAAACCCCTCTCTACTGAGTACATATTTACGACTAACATTTTGATATTTGTCCAGAATACATTTAGCAGTTTGTTTGTCAGAATAATTGTTTCTATAGTGTGTATGTGTGTGTGTGTGTGTATATATGTGTGTATATATACATATATATATATACATGTGTGTGTATATATATACATGTATATATACATATATATATATATGTATGTATATATAAGAGCATATCTATCATCTAGATTGACAATGTAAAAGCCTCCTGTTTGCTGCCACTCAGAACCTGTCCCAAATCCCATCTCCTGTTTGGTCCCAAAATAACCATCATTTTATCAAAATAATTCCTAATGCAGTTTTTGAGTATGTTTAGGCAGTATGGGAGTAGTAAGAAAATGAGAAGAAACAGTTGAATCTGTCACTTTTCCTTGCAGGATATTTTTACTTACGGACTCAATACACAGTGTGTCTCTCTGCCTGTCCATGCCTCTCATGTTTGTGTGTGTATGTATATATTTATAGTCAGAGACAGAGGGAGAGGTAGTAAGATGTGTTGGGAGTGTCTGTTTCTTTCAGTATGTAAAACCTTTGCAAGATTATGGTTCTGTTACTTTGTTTCTTTCTACTACCACACAGAGAGGCCAGTAAAAGAGCTTTTGAAATGAAGAGCCGGTTTGATACTTGAACTTAAGCTCTTCATGCTTCAGATCCCTTATCTGTAAAATGGAAATGAAAGTAGTATAACTCTCACAGGACTTTTGTAAAGAAGTTACATTTGGTATGTCCTTGTGACATTCAAAATAAGTTGAAAATATATACTTGTGTGCTTATTCTATGATATTAACTCCTTGAGGTGTAGATACTAGTGATGCAGAATTTTGAAATGAGGATATAAAAGTCAAGATGTACCTGAAGGTCACACAAGTGTGGCAGAGCTGGCACGTGAATCTGGATCTCCACCAACAGGATGGTTTACATCACTTTGCCTGGGACTGTACTATCTCTTTAATTCTCAGGGAAAAGTGCTATTATTATTTTCTGCACAGTCCCTGCAAGATCATTCATGTTTTATTTTTGGTGTGAACTTTTTTTTTTTNTAACCGTCAGATACTTGGTATCTGTTTCCTTTAGACGTAGGATGTGTCATTCCAGATTCCCAGTCAACACTGTCACAACTGTAGAAGAAAAAATTCAGAGTTAATGGCATAGAATCTAGCTGTGTTCTCTTCGCACAAGTTATGCAGTTCCTCTCTGCACCTCAGTATACTCATCATGGAATTAGGAAGAGTGATGACCTAATTTCATGAGAGTTTTGTGAAGGTTAATTGCTCTTTGTTAAGTTAGTAAATTAATTTGTTAGTACAGTGCCTGGTGGGCTTCCCTGGTGTCTCAAGTGGCAAAGAATCTGCCTCAAGTGCAGGAGACCTGGGTTTGATCCCTGGGTCAGGAAGATCCCCTGGCGAAGGGAATGGCTCCTCAGGCCAGTATTCTTGTCTGGAGACTCCCATGGACAGAGGAGCCTGGCGTGCTGCAGTCCGTGGGGTCCCAAAGAGTTGGACATGACTTAGCATCTGAACAACAAGAGCACAGTGGCTGGCAGTCCGTAAAAGTTTCATAAATATCTCTCTATCTGGCAGAAAGTGAGTGTCAAAGTATAGTGAGTTGGGCCTTCTGGGACTGAAAATGAGGAGTTGTGGTTATCAGAGAGACTTCTTGTGGCAGGTTGTGCTCCCCTAAATCTTTCTGTCTTCTAGCTTACAGGTTCAGGAGCCCCTTTCTGGTCTGGGCCTAAACGTTGCCCACACCCACTTATCTTTGATGTCAACAATGTAAGTCTACTCTCCTGGGTCTCCTGCAGTTGGGTGGAAAGTCACTGAACAGGTGGTAAGGAGGCCGAGCCTCCGTAGGGGAGTACAGATGTTCTTTCCCTTCCTTACCTTGCCTTCTCTTAGCCCCTGCATCTGGACTACGTGATAGCTGCTGCCAACCTGTTTGCCCAGACCTATGGGATGATGGGCTCTCAGGACCGAAGTGCTGTCACCAAACTCATTCAGTCTATGCAGGTCCCTGAGTTCACCCTGAAGTCTGGCGTCAGGAGCCAAGTTTCTGACCAGGAGCTGCAAACCAGTTCCTCCGTTGGTGAGATACTTTAGCTGGGCTGGAGCCACCACGCTACTGTAGCCCATGTCCATGCAAGCCTCCTGTGCACTCATATTTTGCCCCTGGCTCTGCTTTGAGATCTCCTGTCTGAGATTGATCCACTGCCCTCTTTCCTTCTTCAGTTTCCAGTGGGTTTGATGGAGACAAATTCTCTCTCGCACTACTTCTTTCTTCTCCCTCTCTGAGTGGACCATGTCTTTTCTTTGTGTGTTTTTTTCTTTGTTTTCTTCTATTTTCCGTACTGCTTTTGTGTGTGCTTCTGCAGTATAAATGGATACGATTTCCAGCAGTAGTCTCTCTGCCTGATTTCTTCCCTGGTTCATCTTGACAGATCTCCTCATCTGCATCCCTACTTCTCTCTGATATGTATCTTTAACCTGTTACTAATCTGTGTGTATATCTTTCTTCATCTCTCTCTCAATATATTCCTCATCTCTCCAACTGTAACTGTCCCCCAACTCAAAGTTCCATGTCTCCCCTACCCACCTCCTGTCCTAGAAGTCCTTGTCTACATTCTATCTTGTTTGTATCCCTCCGTTTCTTCCTTTGTGTATCTGTCCTCTCCTCTTATATCTTTTGCATTTTGTGTCTGAAATAGCTACTCTCTCACATTCCTGTTTGTATATTTCTCTTTATGCGTTTCCCTACCTGTCTCCCCTTCAGGTACTTTCTACTGTCTTATTTCCTGTACATTTTTTTTTTAAACTGCACTGTTTATGCCCCTCCTTCCTTCTCAGATATGTCCTGTTTATCCCATTTCACTACTCTCTTCTTTGTATCGGTGCATTTCCCCGCAATATTCCTTTCTGTAACTTTTATCCCCTGGTCTCCTGTTTGCTTTTGTGTCTTCCTTCTTATCTCCCCTTGTCTGTGTTGTTCTTCTTTAAGATGTCTTATTTTATGTTCTCATTGACATCCTGCATTTGTTTAATATTTTGGTAAAAAACACAAGAGATTTACCATCTTAATCATGTTTTAAAATATGCTTAAGTAGTATTAAATACAGTTACATTGTACAGGAAATTTATGGAACTTAACTTGCAAATCTTAAACTCTATACCCATCAAACAGTAACACCCCAGTCCCCTTCCCCTTTGCCCCTGGCAAGCAATAATGTATATTCTGTCTCTATGATTTTGATTTTTAGGTACCTTATACAATACTTGCCTTTCTACCTCTGGCTAAGCATGTAGTTCTGAGGCCATTTGTGCTGTTAAACTGCCAGAATTTCAAACGTTCCTCTTTAAGGAGACTTAGTGTTGCACTGAATTGATAGACCACGTTTTTGTATCCACTCATTCATCAGTGAGCAACCTGGGTTGCATCCATCTTTTTGAAAATAGTTTTGTTGTCTAAACCTTTCTTAGTGTCTCAGTCATTTTCCCTCAGTGTCTCTAGTTATACTCCTTTTCACGTCCCACACACCTGTCTATTTCTTTTTTCTTTGAGGTGTTTCTACCTTGTCTTTTCTGCTTCCTTTTACTCTCTCACGTGATGGCTTTCCTTTTTAAATCCTTTATCTGCATGAAATTCTCTGCCTTACTTTGGACTCCTACTTTCACCTCAGGCCCTGGCCTGGAATCTAATGTGTATCTGAGGACTGACATGTACTCTCTCCTCTGGGCAGATGATAACCGCCTACAGGAGCTCAAGGCCATGCTGCCCACCCCAGAGAGCCTTTCTGGGTTCAAGATGTACCCCATCAACTTTGAGAAGGTGCTTGGGAGAGTGGTGCCCTCAGCAGGATAGGAGGATGGGCTGAGCCATCTTTAGCTTTTGTGGGGTTAACACGTCTACCATATGGCCCATTTTTTTTTTTTTTTTTTTAAAAAAAAAGTGGTGCAGGGAAAACTGGACAGTTACATGCAAAAGAATGAAATTAAAACACTTCATAACACCAAACGGAAATATAAACTTAAACTGGATTAAAGACCAAAGTATAAGACCAGAAGCTATAAAACTCTTAGAGGAAAACACAGGCAGAACACTCAGTGACATAAATCAAAGCAAGATCTTCTATGTCCCACTTTCTAGAATAATGGGAATAAAAACATAAATAAGCAAGTGGGACCTAATTAAACTTAAAAACTTTAACTCAACAAAGAAACCCTAGCAAGGTGGAAAGTCAACCCTCAGATAGGGAGAAAACTATAGCAAAGGAAACAACTGACAAGGAATTAATTTCCAAAATATTCAAGTAGATCATGCAACTGAACACCAGAAAACATACAACCCAATAAAAAAGTGGAAAGCAGAACTAAAGAGACATTTCTCCATGGAAGACATATAAGTGGCTAACAAACACGTGAGAAGATGCTCAACATCACTCATTACTAGAGAAATGCAAATCAAAACTACAATGAGATATCACAACACACCAGCCAGAAGGGACATCATAAAAATGTCTACAAACAATAAATGCAGGGGAGGGTGTGGGTAACAGGGAATGCTCTTGCAGTGTTGGTGGGAATGTAAATTGATACAGCGACAATGAAAGACAGTATGGAGATACTTTTAAAAACTTGGAATAAAACCATTGTATGACCCAACAATCCCACTTGTAGACACATACCCTGAGGAAACCAATATTAAAAAAGACACATGTACCCTAATTTTCATTGCAGCACTATTTACAATAGCTAGAAATTGTAAACAACCCAGATGTCCATTGACAGATGAATGAATAAGGAAGCTGTGGCACATATATACAACAGAATACTACTCAGCCATAAAGGAATACATTAGAGTCAGTCCTAATAAGGTCAAGAAACTTAGAGCCTGTTTTACAGTGAAGAAAATTAGAAACAGAAATATTAATATCACATAGTGATGCATGTATGTGGAATCTAGAAAGATGGCACTGACAAATTTATTTCCAGAGCACCAGTAGAGAAGCAGGCACAGAGAACAGATCCATGAACAAGGGGGAGGGGAGGAGGGCGAGACTAAGATGCATGGAGAGAGTAACATGGAAATTTACAGTGCCAAATGTGAAATGGATATTGGGGATTTTTTGTATGCCTCAGTGAACACAAACACACAGAGGCACTGTGACAGTCTAGAACTGTGTGATGGGGAGGGCGATGGGAGGGAGGTTCAGTAGGAAAGAGACATATGGCAGATGCTTATTGATGTTTGACAGAAAGCCACAGAATTGTGTAAAGCAATTATCCTTCAATTAAAAAGTAAACAAAGTGCAAAAACACTTAAAATTCATGTAATGATACTATATTGTTGTTTTTATTAGTTTGTGTTTTTTTTTTACACATACTGACTAAAGTTTTACATTTCCACCTGTGTGTGTGTGTCGGGGGCGGGGGGAGGGTGCAAAACATTAAACACAAACAGCAAATGTTAAAGGCCACAAGGGAAAAGCAGCAAATAATATTTAAGGGGATGACCGTAAGAATAACAGCTTATCTTTAAACAGAAACTCTGCAGGCCAAAAGGGAATGACAAGGCATACTTAAAGTGATGAAAAGGAGAAACCTGCAACCATGATTACTCTACCCAGAAAGAATCTCATTCTGATTTGAAGGAGAAACCAAAAGCTTTACAGACCAGCAAAAGCTGACAGAATTCACCACTTCCAAATCAGCTCTTCAACAAAATGTAAAGGATCAGCTCTAGACATGAAAAAAAAAAAAAAAACCTGAAAAGTTTTATAAAAACGAGCCCGCCAAGATAAAATAAATGGTAACATGATCATACTTTTCAATAATTAGCTTAAATGTGATAAAACAGGTGCTCCAGAGGGCAGTCTTTGTATTTGCAGCACGTCGTCTCTACAGCTTGGACCAAGTAGTCATGGGCAATGTGCTCTAGAGTGAAAGTTCAGGAGATTTGACATGTATTCTCTGAAGCAGTTTCTGTATATGTGGCATGCTTTCTGTAGATCATGGATCTGTAGCGGCAAGACTATTTCTAGAACATGGGCTTGGAGATGATGAGATACATGCTCCAGAGTGCAATATCAACTGATGAGGCATGCATGTTTTTAAGCATGGGGTCAGTAGTGTCAGAACACAAACTTCCGAGTGTCATTTCAGTAATTCTGGCACAGTCACCGAAAAGTGCAATCTCAATAGCCGTGTGATGTTTCTTCTTGAACATGGGCTCAGCATGTTCCAGAAAGCTAGCTGAGTATGTGGAATACGCCTGCTCTGGAGCATGAGCTTGTTAGTAGCAGGACAAGAGCTCAAGAGTACATACTGAAGAGTTGTGGCACTAGAGCACTGCAATGAAGGATCACTAAAGGCAGGAAACATGAAAGATAGCTTAGATTTATAGCTATGAAACATAAATTCTAGGGTACATGTAATCTAGTTGCTTATCTCAAGTGCTGGATGAGTATCAGAGTTGTATATGGTCTCAGTTCAGTTCATTTCAGTTCATTCACTCAGTCATGTCCGAGGCGACCCCATGAATCACAGTACACCTGGCCTCCCTGTCCATCACCAACTCCCGTAGCTTACTCAAACTCATGCCCATCAAGTCAGTGATGCCATCCAGCCATCTCATCCTCTGTCGTCCCCTTGCCCTCCTGCCCACAATCCCTCCCCGCATCAGGGTCTTTTCCAATGAGCTAACTCTTTGCATGAGGTGGCCAAAATATTGGAGTTTCAGCTTCAGCGTCAGTCCTTACAACGAGCACCCAGGACTGACCTCCTTTAGGGTGGACAGGTTGGATCTCCTTGCAGTCCAAGGGACTCTCAAGAGTCTTCAACACCACAGTTCAAAATCATCATTTTGACTCTCAGTTTTCTTCACAGTCCCACTCTCACATCCATATATGACCACTGGAAAAACTATAACTTTGACCAGACAGACCTTTGTTGGCAAAGTCATGTGTCTGCTTTATAATATGCTATCTAGGTTGGTCATAACTTTCCTTTCAAGGAGTAAGCGTCTTTTAATTTCATGCCTGCCATCACCAACTTCAGTGATTTTGGAGTGCCCCCCCCCAAAAAAAAAAAGTCTGACACTTTTTCCATTGTTTCCCCAACTATTGGCCATGAAGTAATGGGACCAGAGTTCATGATCTTAGTTTTCTGAATGTTGCGCTTTAAGCCAACTGTTTCACTCTCCTCTTTCACTTTCATCAAGAGGCTTTTAGGTTCCTATTCACTTTCTGCCATAAGGATGGTGTCATCTGTGTATGTAAGGTTATTGATGTTTCTCCCAGCAATCCTTGTTCCACCTTGTGCTTCTTCCAGTCCAGCGTTTCTCATGATGTACTCTGCATAGAAGTTAAATAAGCAGAGTGACAATACACAGCCTTGACATACTCCTTTTCCTATTTGCAACAAGTCTGTTGTTCCTTGTCCAGTTTTGTTGCTTCCTGCCCTGAATATAGGTTTCTCAAGAGTCAGCTCAAGGGGTCTGGTATGCCCATCTCTTTCAGAATTTTCCATAGTTTATTGTGATCCACACAGTCAAAGCCTTTGGCATAGTCAATAAAGCAGAAATAGATGTTTTTCTGGAACTCTTTTGCTCTTTCGATGATCCACTGGACATTATCAATTTGATCTCTGGTTCCTATGCCTTTTCTAAAACCAGTTTGAACATCTGGAAGCTCATGGTTCATGTATTGCTCAAGCATGTCTTAGAGAATTACTTTTGAGCTTTACTTTACTAGTGTGCTAGTTGAGTGTAATTGTGCAGTGGTGTGAGCATTCTTTGGGATTACCTTTTTCTTCGGTGGAATAAAAGCTGACCTTTTCCAATCCTGTGGCCACTCCTGAATTTTCCAAATTGGCTGGCATATTGAGTGCAGCACTTTCACAGCATCATCTTTCAGGGTTTGAAATAACTCAACTGGAATTCCATCAAACTACGGGAGTTTATGATAAACACGGAGGCCTGGCGTGCTCCGATTCATGGTGTCGCAAAGAGTCAAACACGACTGAGCAACTGAACTGACTGACTGATCCTTTCCTCTTTCCCATCCTGGACAGGGTCACTGCAGAGATACGTCGACCAACCACCTTCAGTGTGGAGACGCCTCGTGCCTCCTCTTCTGGTTGCTCGGCACATCCTCTCCTGGTGACTTCATCTGTGCATCTACCCTGGGCCAGAAACACACACACACACACACACACACACACACACAGACCCATAAACACAGGTGACACAAGCCCACCTGTGTATATACACACATATCCTCAGCACGGGGAAACAAACGCAAACAGCTCTCTCAGTAGCCAAAGATGCCCGTGCCAAGCAATGTGGGAGATGGCATCAGTTGGCACCATGTCCTTCCCTTGGGGCCCCCTGTCCACTTCATCCCGCAGCTCTTCCATATTTTCCCAAGCCGGCCTGAAGCCGGTTCCAGTGCAGCCTGCGTGGTGGCAGTGAGACAGCGAGGGGTGGATGTGGAATTTCACAGATAACCACAAAGTCAGCCCTCAAGTGCAGTGGGAGCCCGGAGAGGACGCCCTTCCAACCATAGGCTATCCCAAGACGAGTGGCGGGAAGGACAAACCCAGACAATCTCAAACTCAGTGAGCAGCAGGAGGCTGGGGATGGTGGGATTGACTGAACAATGATTCTGAAAAGCTAACTTCATTCACCCTGCCTCTAGCAGAATCACCTATGACTCTGGCATTGCAGCCACAGCTGCTTTGAGGGAGACTTGCTTCACTCATGGACACACCAAGTCCCCAAACCTCCAGTTTCATCACGTCACCTGCTACATGCATGACCGAACCCAGCCTCCACAGCCAATTGCTGAGCCTTAGGATTCCCAATGGGGAAA